TACATACATACATACATACATACATTACATTACATTACATTACATTACATTACATTACATTACATACATACATACATACATACATACATACATACATACATACATACATACATACATACATACATTACATTACATTACATACATACATACATACATACATACATACATACATACATACATACATTACATACATACATACATACATACATACATACATACACATACATACATACACATACATACATACATACATACATACATACATACATACATACATACATACATACATACATACATACATACATACATACATTATACATACATACATACATACATACATACATACATACATACATACATACATACATACATACATACATACATACATACATACATACATACATACATACATACATACATACATACATACATACATACATACATACATACATTACATACATACATACATACATACATACATACATACATACATACATACATACATACATACATACATACATACATACATACATACATACATACATACATACATACATACATACATACATACATACATACATACATACATACATACATACATACATACATACATACATACATACATACATACATACATACATACATACATACATACATACATACATACATACATACATACATACATACATACATACATACATACATACATACATACATACATACATACATACATTACATACATACATACATACATACATACATTACATTACATACATACATACATACATACATACATACATACATACATACATACATACATACATACATACATACATACATACATACATACATACATACATACATACATACATACATACATACATACATACATACATACATACATACATACATACATACATACATACATACATACATACATACATACATACATACATACATACATACATACATACATACATACATACATACATACATACATACATACATACATACATACATACATACATACATTACATACATACATACATACATACATACATACATTAATACATACATACATACACAAACACACAGACACACAGCCCCACAAAGCCCCTCCCCCAACACACCCACACACACACACAGACAGAAACGTGTCAATGCTCAAGCAGCCTTGATTTCTTTAGCAAGCATTCATGACAGGAGACCAACTTTGCGGAATGGCACGCAGCACTGGGCAACACGCCGGGCACCAAACAAATGAGACATGCAAAGATCAACAACCAAGAACCCAACGGCTGCAATATGCCATCAAGCCCAATACACTGCGAAAGCCTTGTCTAATCTGTAGCCAAAGAGGTACAATTTCCCGAACGTCAGGGGCACACAGATCGTTGCACGACATTGTTCCTTGCAACAACAAAACAAGTGCAAACATGATCAAACTTTGGCATCAAACAGCGAACAATTGTCAATGTATGTTATTGTCTAAAAAAAGACAACATCCTCCATTGAATTTGCGGTGCCTTTGGCAGCTGGAAGACAGAAGCAGTGGCAGTGGCAGTGGCAGCAGCAGCAGCAGAAGCAGAAGCAAAAGAAGTGATTAATGACAAGTCATGTGCAGATCAAGTTGCAGAGTTCAACAAGCAGCCAGCAACCAAAGCACCTTTTGCAAACTGAGCGTCATATCCTGCTTCATGGAGCCGCCGGCCTGGAGCAGGTTGCCCTTCAGGGCCTGCGCCTGCTTGGTCTTGATGTACTCCGGGGTGTTCTCGAAGCGGGTCAGGGCTGCGGTGAGCGCCTTCTTCCTCCTGTCGACCTCGTCCGGGTTGCGGGCCTTGTAGACAGTCTCCGAGCCATCGCTGAACTGGGAATAGGGGTTGATGGGGTTGTCGTTCTGGGAGTAGGCATCCGACTGCCCGCTGCCCAAGCCGAAGAAGGAGAACCTTTGCGATCATCAATGCAACCAAACCAGGTCAATGCTTGGCAGGAGCGTCGGAAACTGCAAGGCTGGCCGAAGTTTCATCAGGGATCCCTCATGATTGTCGTGGAAAAGCCTCTCATTGAAGGATTAAGCGCCATTCCCATCAGCACGCTGATCTGATCACGTCCCTCCTGCTGATACCCAAGCATCGAATATGAAAAACAAAACTGGACCGCCACTTGGCTTTCTTCTGACTTCCAACACACCTGGAAGGAAGCCGGGTTTCCACCCCTCCGAAAGGGGGAAAAGGGGCACCACTGACAGAGGTGGGAGTAACATCCGGTCAGCCAATCTTCGACTCCAAGGAGCGTGGGCACCTCGGCGCTGGCCGTCATCGGCGTGGCAGCAACCTGAGACTAGACAGTCTCAGTGCATGGATGGCAGGCGGCAGTGAAAGCACTACAGTAAGTATTCCGATGGAATGTCATCTTATATACTAGGATCTCAGCTGAACATGACAATCATACATCGAGCGCGGCAATGGCTGACATTGTTATACATGCAAATCAACTTGAGTCAGGAGAAAGGTCTTTGATGGGACAGTGGAATTTCGATGCTTGTGCAAAAGCGAGGCGAAAAGGTTGGTTCGAACAAACCAGATTGTGATCTGTATGTGTAAAGCATCAAATATGATGGCGAAGATCTGACAAGGAGTCACTCGGAGGCCCTGCGATGCTGTTGACTTGCAAGCTTGCATGCTTTGATACTGAAGTTTCAAACCTTAGACTTCATTGACAATTCCAACTGCTATCCTGACAGTACCCAATCTTGGTCCCTGTCTCCTTGCTATTCGCAGTGTAGTCTTTTGCCGGTCCCGTCGAGTGGGCGCCCGAGGGCACTCGGCCGTCCCGGCTGACTAGACTCGGCCCCGTGCCATTGCCGCGGCCAGGGCCGCCGCGGCCTCCCGCTGCTGCTTCGGTGCCACGAATGAGGGGGAGAGTAGCCTGGGCCAGTTGGATGTGTTGTACCCCCTTTTTGGTTTTGAAGGGAAGCTAAAACGAAACCCGAAGCCCAAAACGGGGTCCGATTTCTATTAAAGACGCCTGGCACATCGCCTGGTGGTCACTTGGCCTGATAACTTTATGCGCGACGCAGCACCCAAATCTAGGGGTAAATGGTCCTGCTGTACCTTGTGCGGATCTTGATAATGACAGTCAAAGTTCCTCTTGAGTGGTTGACCAAATACGCTGGCGTGCTGACAATGGCAGACCCCAATCCTCTGGTTGCAACCAAGCTTGTGAATTTGCATTCGAATGTGCCGAACCGAAGCGGAAGCGATGCGCATGAGAAGAGGTTGCGCAATGGCCAAATACCTTCCGGCACAGCCAGGAGTGGTCTCTCTCACACACACACACTGGTGAAGGGTGCAATCACACACTATGAACTGTCCTTCGGATGGGTGCACAACGTACATGTAAATCGATGGTTCTGGCATACTCCTGGTTCTAGATCTCAGTAACGGGTTTTATTTTATTGCAAACAGTCGCCAAGAAAGCTATGGACTCAATGTCCTGGCAAGTCGGGGGCTCTTCAGGCTGCCAAAGCATGAGATAAGCTGCCAGCACCAAGGACAGCCACCATCACTGCGCGGTCCGAAAAAGGGCTGCTGATATTACAGTCTTGGATAAACACCTTTCCCTCTGGATTGCAAAAAATGCCACTCCAAAATAGCAGCTGTTTGATCTCTCCGAGGAGAAAGTAGCGGAGGCACCATGTCCTTCCCAGCAACATATCACCATGCTCCTGGCATATTGCTAAGGTTTGCCCAAAGCAGCTTGAATCACCGAACTGCGCACAGTCCAGTGAAGCTTGCCACGGGGTCTTTTATCTAGGCCCCCATTCCAGGTGGGCCAACATGAAGCTTGCTTCCACAAGCTTCACGTGCCGATTCCAGGTCCCCGCCTCAGTGCCACACAGGCACCCAAAGCCAGCAGCACCTGGGGGTCACATTCACTCACCGTTCAGTCGCTCTCTCTTCGATCTCCCGCCTTGGAGAGTGCGGAAGCACGAGCCATGGCGGGCAAGAGAGAAGGCAAGAGGCGAGCGCCGGCTTGAGGTGCAAAAATCGGGCTGCGCGGGAGGTGGGCTTGATATCTGTTCGGCGTCCTATCCACAGGCAACCAACCTTTCGTTCATGTGTCTCCATCCCATCAAATCCCACTACACAACCCATTCCCAACCCCCAACCAATCCATGTGATTCAGCACAATCAACCTCGATCCATCCCCTCCGGCCGATCCGCGAATGAATCCAGACTATGAATTATAATGACACATCAAATCAATCAAGCAATGCATCCAATTCAGATCACTGTCGTCAATAACCACAGTGTTGCCAACTTCAGGTAGTGCGACAGAGTCACAGTATGGCAGCCAGTATGGCATGAATTCCAATAGGCAACCCTCTCAAGTGGTTGGTGACCTAAGCGATATCCACCAAAGAGTCCTCAATTAAAAAGCCCACCCATATAGCAAACAATCCCTTCCTTGTAACCATGAAGGTCTTCAAAGCCATGGCTTAACCAACGATCCCTAAGCATCAAACCCAGCCACATCTTCAAATGTCTGGACAAGCAGCTACGATATCTTATGTTGTCCTTACCGGGGAATTTGCAATGGTGAACGTGTTTCGGCCCCGAAAGGAACAATCAACATGCGGGCTTGGAAAGCACACACCAATGGACAAGCATGGATAGCATGGCAACCCTACTGCCAAGCAAAATTTATTTTAATGTGTACATCACTACCTCAGGAAGGCATTACGTTGATTGCCTTCCTAAAATGATGCTGAATGGCCTGAAGGCGGGAGTCTGCGTACTGAAAGCAACAGCAACACAACAACCAAATTCTACACTGACAAAACATCCGGCAATATTGACTGCTACTTTCACAGCTGGCATCAGGTTCATCGGAACATGACGTGCACGCGAACCATGTGGCTTGTTTTGCTCGCGCGAGCTGTGCTTAAAAACCCACCGGGCGCAAGCTGTGACTCAGAAGCCGGCGAGGCTCTTCCACCTCAGAACATGCGAAGCAAACTGGACTGTGCGAAAGGCAAATCCCTGGTTGAGGCGCTGGTGGTCAGGAAACTGCTACTCTTGGTAAGTAAGAATCAGCCAAAGCCGCCTTCTGTAATGAGTTTGGCAAAGTGCAAACATCTTGCATCCGGTCAGAATCATGCATCTCTTCAAGAAGAAGCTTTGATGTCTTTCGCAGCAGGAGCCCGCTCGATGAGTTTGCTCTAAGCTGCCAAGGTTGTTGCAGCTGCACAAAGAGGTGCTGCATCTTAGGTTGGCAGAAATTCCATGAGTTTCTTGATTTGTTGGATTTGTGCCTTACTCAATCAATTGTCAACAACAAATGAGCCAAACATAGCTCACTCCATAGACACATTGTTGCCGCGAGGAACAATGACTGATACCGAAACAGTAGTTGATCGCCGCCTCCGGCCGCGGTCCCGAAGTGCAGGCGAAGCCACTCGCTCAAGATCGCAGCGGCCTTGTCGTAGTCCTAGCGAGCGCAGGATGACATGCCCAAGCAAGCCGCTTCTCATGTGATCTGCCAAACAGAGAGAAGAAGGCGCACCCTGAACCAAACAAAAATGATCCTGCTGCAAATTCCAAGCGAGCTAGTAATGCAGCCATTGCACGACATGCCAATTGCAAAATGGCAAATCGCTGGCTCCAGGATGTTCAGCTGCTGTCGAACGCATTGAAATCGGTCGTTGTTTGTCTCCCTTTTTGGTTGACGCTGTGTCCAGACTTGCCGCGTCCTGTGCGGCCGCAGCCCACTGCTTGTTGCCGCCATCCACGCCCAGAGTGGAGACCTTCTGGGAGAATTCCCGGGCCTTCGCGTAGGCTGGGGAGCCTTCCTCGCCCGAGAAATAGATCCTTGGCGCGAAGAATTAGAAAGTCATTGTTGCCATGAACGTTAACATCATCAATAATATTTGTTTCGGCACAGCCAGGCTCTGCGTAATTGGCAGCTTAGGGGAAGCGTTCGAAATGTCAATCATAAAAAGAGCAACTGCAGTAGCAGTCGTCATTTGTTCAGTGAGGTGGCAGTCATTATGTCCATTCATTGAAATTCCCTCCTACCTTTTGAGGGAGGGGGTGTGGGGGGTGTCCCCCAATGCCATTCCCTTGTGTTCCCACAAAACGGGAAATGGAGCCATCAATGGAATTCCAGGGGTCATCCCCCTCCCCCAATTCCATTTTTAAGCGGGCGGGGAGGTTGGAAATATGTGTTATATATATATATATACAGTTTTATGTGTCTATAATTCTATACAAATACATATTAGGTACCATCCCTCAAAAAAAACACTCTTTTTTTCAGGAGGTTTGCCCCCTCTCACCACCGCAAAGCAAAAACGCTGCACTTCTGGCATTTGGCCTTACTCTGCACTTTCAATCATCAAGAAGTATAATTAGTGGATTGAATGTTTGTTCTTTGGGGATGTTGCTCTACATTGAAGAGTTTCCAACAACAACAAAAAAAAACACGGCCAAAACTTCCCATTCACGGTGGGGGTAGAATTGATGTGTTTCTTGTATGTTGTTTTGTGCTTTTTGTCTGGGCGAAATTGGGAACTGTTGCGCAAAAAGTTGGCCAACATTTGGCAGCAAATCAAAGCAAAAAACGTCCCAGCCATGGTGGGGGTAGGAACGTTTGTTGGTTCTGTTGTTTTTGGTCCAGTCGCAGTGTGGAAAGATTGGGCAACTTCAAAACATGTTGCGCAACATTGCGAGCCAAGCTAAGAGCCTCAGAAAAGTTTGCGGCCTTTTCCAAACACTTTCTCTTTTTTTGTTGGGGGGGGAGTGGCCTGAACTCAAGACTCCCAAGAAACGTCTCTGTGCATTCTTGGGGGTTCAGCTCAAAAAAGACATACGTTTTCCAGACACTTATTTTTTTCACAGGCCCTTCTTGTTTCATCTAGGATGTGCGCAGCTTGACCCTCATGTTTGCAGGGGAAACATGACATGCGACTTACACTGTGCGGTTTTGTGTTTTTGCCTTTTTGAGGGGAGGAACAGTGATCTGACACATGCCGAAACATACCGCACTTTACTGCATGTTTGCCAACGAGCAGATCTATGTTGATTGAAATACTATTCTGTGATTGTCTTGGCTCAGTTCATACCTACTTAAAATAACATGGAATTAGACAAGGGCAACTAACCTTTTGAACATGAAGTTGATTTCAATGCCAACTTGCAATGACAATGGCTGTTCCCTCCACTATTTCGGAATGCATAAGGAAATGCAATTGATTGATGTTGAATCAATGATATTGACATTGCTTAATAAATCAAGCTAGAAATAAACAATGCATTAATTCGATGAGTTGCTTTCCAAAGGTTGTTTTGATCGAGTTGAGATAGACTGCAAATTGCCCAAGGGCATGGAGCCCCTTTCGAATTGATTGAAGCTTGCTAATTTTCCTGCTACATGAGAAGAGTAACACACGATAACAGAGTACTACGTTTAACAAGTGTCGTCTTTTTTGAGCTGGAGCGAATCGCCTACTGCAAGTGGATCAGACTCAAGATTCACGATGCTGGAAACAAATATCTGGAGAATCTTAAATCCCATTCATCTGGGGTAGATATATCATATTAGTATAAAATATAATATGCACACATTATTATAAGATCTGCTGAAACTTACTCACGTGTTCGCTGAATTAAGGAGCAGCGCACAAGCAAACAACGTCAGGATTGCTAGCATGTGCATCAACCTGTGTCTGCATGCTGTTCATGATTGTTCCGTGGTCCTTGCTCTGATCAGCTCGGTCCTTTTCCCGAGCCCAGTTTTTGCAAGGATCAGAAGCGGCGATTACGTGGGCTGGACGGCCTTCGAGGAAACGTGCCAGCAGGAAATTCCCAGGCAATTTCGGGCTGCTGCATCTTTCTGTGTACACCTTTCAGCATATCCAGCTTGTCAGGCTGATTCTGGCTGTGCGATTTTTGACCAAACGAGTAAAAGCCAAACCGGTTTGAGCATTTGATAGGATGCTCAAGACTGGGTACTGGTGCTGCACAAAGATTGTTGCCTGAAGCTAAGTTCCAGCTGCGACTGAAGAATTCCTTAAATGGCAATCACAATAGTCTGTGCCGGGAAACATGCTGCGAGTTAAACAAAGGTACACAATGATTGGCGTTCAGGGACCAACCAGCTGCGTCACAAAGCAATTGCCTCCTTGCTGTGGAGCGGCATGTAGCTGCGCCAATCTATCTGGCTATACAATTTTGGCTTCCTGCGCAGCCGGCCAAGGCGCATATCCTGCTTCATGGAGCCGCCGGCCTGGAGCAGGTTGCCCTTCAGGGCCTGCGCCTGCTTGGTCTTGATGTACTCCGGGGTGTTCTCGAAGCGGGTCAGGGCTGCGGTGAGCGCCTTCTTCCTCCTGTCGACCTCGTCCGGGTTGCGGGCCTTGTAGACAGTGTCCGAGCCATCGCTGAACTGGGAATAGGGGTTGATGGGGTTGTCGTTCTGGGAGTAGGCATCCGACTGCCCGCTGCCCAAGCCGAAGAAGGAGAACCTGGCAGCGTCCATTGGGAAATTGCTCGTGATCTGTGCTGCCAAGAGCCCCTGAAAAAGGCGTCATATCCGAGAAGCCGCATTGTTTATCAACCGAATGTTGAGATCAGGGATTCTCACAAAAGGGACCTTCTGGGATCATGGTCATGGCTTCTTTCCCAGCAAAAAGTTGGCCAACTGAATAGAGGAGCTAAGACCTTCTGTTCCTCTCCCTGCTGATTTCCCCACCCCACACTAGCTCTGCATTCTGCCGAGGTGCGTGGGCACCTCTGCCACTGCAGGGCCAGCGCTGGCTGCGACCTCAGTAGGTCAGTCTCGTCAAATTTCCTTGCGACAAAACAGACACGTGTTGCCATGAGCTAAACTTGAATGGCTCAACAAAGCCCAGAGCGATATTGCGGAGTGATAAGCAGGCAACACCTTATAACCAGGTAGTCGTAAGTTATAGGGCCCCAAAACGACATCGGCGACAGGTAAGTGCTCAAACTGCATTTCTTGTGACAATCCAGTCCATGAACGACACATTGTTGTGCTGTCACCGCAATAGAAATTATAGCCCTTAGACCGGGGTTCAAGCAAACCAAATATGAAATGTTCGAGGAGGGCTTGCACTGATTCTAAGAGGTCTGCGCAACGTCAAGCAAGCGGAGCTATGCCAGAAAACAAGCTGTCCTCATCAAACAAGGTCAGGACTAGTGCATCCTGCAAAAGTCTGTCCAGCAGTTTCTCAAGGGCTGTTTTGGCAAATCCTCTTCTACGGCTCTAAAAGATGTTTCTCGCTCATGCTCAAGCTCCACGAAGTCTGAATGCGAAGGAAACCCAAACATTCTCTGTGGTCCATACTTGTCCAACCAGATTCGACCTTGAGAGATGCAATAAAGTTGCAGAACTCGGCACCCCATTCCGACGTACACTGACAAGAGCCATGCTTTCAGCGCTTTCAGCGCAGGCCTTGTCAAAGGCCCATGCTCGAGCGAAAGAGCGAAGCCCCTGGAGTGAAAGGCAACCCTGAGCTTCAAAACACGAATGGCTTACGCTAGGCAAACAAGACCAATGGGCAAAACAAGACCACTGGGCGCAGTTGTGGGACAAATGGCAGGGAGTGAGTGCATGCCCAACCTTAGCCAATCTTCGTCTGCCGGGCTGCCATGGCAGCTGCCAATGCTGCTGCCGCCTCATTGCGCTGGCGAGGCGCCAGGAACGCGGAAGGCGACAGAAGCCTGGCAAGCGACAAGCTCGCACACCGAACACGCTGGACCTTGGAGTCTCCAAATTGGAAGACTCCGTGAGATGAGAATAAAAAGCAAAGCAAGCGGCCTGCGTGAGTAGTGGAAAGACAGCCAGCTCAACGCTCTCTGCTCTCAGCAAAGTCCGCTGATATGGTACTTTGCTGGAAATTCCTCAACAGGTTAATCCAAGGCAAAACGCATACCAACCAAGACCGCCTTGAGCCGTGTCTCAGGACGTGTCTCAGGACTCAGGATTCAGAAGGTAGCCCAGGCCTTGCTCTGGAGGACTGAACATGCTTGAAGGCCAACAAAGGTTTCCAGCCACAGTGAAAACAATTCATGTGTGCAAGCATGCCCGCTTTTTGAGATGGAAGGCCACAACGAGTTGATAGTCACGGGTCGTGTTTGACCACGGCACTCATCGGCATGTTTACAACGGTCTTAGTTTGACATGAATTCCGCTTTGAATCTCATGATGACAGCCAAACATTTCTTCTGCGCCGGGCTTGACGAGTACACGCTGTGCCTCAGCGTCGCGACAGCACTGGTCACCACAAACACCTGCCGTGCGAGCGAGTCTCAAATATGTGCAACAACATCAGCATCAACAGCGTGTCCCTCATTCTGAGATACACCTATCAGGCAAGACTTAGTGCCACTCAACAGGACGTGTCTTTGGAGAAAAGCCCGTTCTCCCACCCCACTCGCTCACCCACCCAACCGAGGATTGGCTAACAAACCAGGGATGCCGCTGTTGACAAAACACCTCCGCGGGATTGGCCAAGTCTGTGGGGCTTCTCTCTGCCTTACCAATGAGTCCAAAGGATGCCTGTGCTCTGACATGCCGCGAAACCAGCTTGTGAGGACATCGCCGTTTAAGACATATAGCACGCCATGTTGAAAAGAACAAGGCATGGAAGACCTCCTTGTGGTCTGCTCGGCAACGAGGCAAAACCAATTCAAAGTCTTCCATAGAGATTCGCACAATCCTCATGGTACAGCAGTGTTGCTCAAAAACTGACCCCCCAACCGGAAACAACATCAGAGAGAGGTGTGAGAGATGAGCCAAACAAGTGCCAATTCGAGCTCAGAAGGCAACTCATGCTTCCCGCTAAAGTAAGATACTATCCATCCGCTACTTGTCACACCAGGTCGGTGAAATGAATGCTGCCAGCCGTTCAGCTTTGACCAACTCAGAGTGTGAACAAAGCAAATGGACCTCAATGCATGGATCCCGCCAGCCGTAAACATCGAGAAGGTTGTGCCCTCGTCTCAATGGACACTGACCTGGCCGACACAACGCCTTGCCTTCGAAAGAAGGGATGCACGAGCCATATCGCCACAAGGCAAGAATAAAAGGCACGTGACTTCCCGGTGGTTGGGCCAAAAAATACCTGCGAAAGAGCGGCATGCAAAGTTGGCAATCAAAGCATCTGGACTTTGCCTGAAACGGTTTCTGTGCAGTTGTTCATGATACACACACACAGTACTTCGGTGAGGTGAGGGTAGATGATCGGACGAAATCCTGCCCCACCTCAGAAACCCAGGAATGGTGATTCCCCTGTAAACACCAACAACAAATGGTTTCCCATGGTTTCAAAGTGGTGCAGGATTCCGTCCATCCACAGTAGTTCACATCGTGTACAAAATATTTTTGAAAACATTCATATACACCATCAGGGGCCCTCTAAACCCAAAACGGCCACTCTGACCTGCATTCGCAGCGCACATCTGAAAACTGAACAATATCATGAGAGTTCATAGCATGATTTGCCTCCGCTGTCCCATGTCAACCGACATGTTGCATCTGGGATGGTAGTCATGCCCAGTGGCTAGATTGCCATGCCCCAACATGGTGTATGCTTCTGTGACTCAGCGGCTTTGTAGTTAATTGTACCGTGCAATCAAACTCTGAATTTGGAAACACGGCTCGGATTGAAACCACCCGTGTCAACATCCATAGGACAAACATCGACGCACAACGGAAGACACGCAACGTCAGCAATACCACCAGCCTACACTTTTGGTGGGGATGTCCAAGCAAAACCGATGTCGATGTGTGGTGGGTGGGGCCAATCCATCCATCCATTGGATGGTTGCTTTCATTTGCTCAGATCCTGTTTCCTAAAACAAGGACCAAGTTGAGCAAAGCCGGAGCGAACACATACAAAAGGCACTGCTTTGAAGAGAGCTAAACAATATGATTGGCACAAAGTGGCAGCAAAAGGAAATCCCAGTACCAGCATGTATGATCCACTGGACATGAAAACATACGGCTCCCACTAGAATTCGTGATAGAAAAGCACACGCACAAGTGCCCTGTGAGGAGCCCTTCCTGCGATTGAACATACTGTGCAGAATAATCGTGCAATGTCCGCTGAAGCCCTGGATTTGATCTAATTTGTCCAAGTAGTTTATCAAGGAATGCACAGCGTGATATCAACTAATGCAAGTTTGCATTGTACAACAGGTCCTCGCATGGTGCCAGGATTTCTTTGTAGTTTGAGACACGGCATGTGGACTGGCGGTACATGCCTCTAAGACAGGGCATCATCTTCAACATGATAGCCGGGGCATGTCAAGTCCTTTGATGTGGCTGGCTTGGTATCTGTCAAGTCCTTCGATGTGGCTGGCTTGGTATCCATCCCTTAGGTTTCCGGCCATGCGCACGCAACAGTTGACCAGCATGACTGTCAATAGCCTGCCAGCCAAAAGTGAGCAAGAGCCGCTTCCTTTACCTTCAGCGTGCCTTGCACTGTCTAAAAAGCCCCGCTCAAGCAGGTCTCTGATCTGTACAGTGCACGGGTTCTCAGAACTGGGCCAGCTGCTTCCACCTCAATCAAACAAGTACACACTGGTTTTTGTTCATGTTCAAGGGGCATCGCATTGCGCACCTCTTTGATTGGGCAGTCAGGCCATCAAACATGGCATTCCACACACACAGGCACTATCGCTGCTGTGCTCGCTGTTGACCTGTTCCAGATGCACCCAAATGCAAACCCACTGCCATAAACCAGGTAGCAGTTCTTACAGTTCTGTTGAATGGGCACAGGTTGCAACCAAGTACACACACACACAACACAATTGCAAATGTCAAACTGCCGAACCAACTCATTTGAACCCTATGCCCTATGACAAGCAAGACATTGCTTCTGCCTTTGCGATTTCCGCCCATATTGCAAAGCCAAACCAAGCTACTCGCCCAAGATCTTGGAGGCCTTTGCGTAGTCCTCGCGCACAATGGTAAGCACGTGTGAGATCATGTGAGCTTCCCAACTGAAATGTGGCACCCTCCCTAACATGGAAGCTCCAATGAGGCAAGTGTACATGCACATTGGTCTTTCCAAAGGGTCCTGAGTAGTTCAACACATTCCTCATGAAACTTCAAGATGGAAGACATCTCTGCAGCTGTAGGCATGCTCGACCCCAAAGTGAGCCCAGCCTGGCCTGCAAATTGCTATGCTTTGTGCGTGGTGCAACGAACCATGGCAGTTGATTGAAGGCATCTTACAAAGAGCATTCCACCAACATACGCCAAATATCATGGCTTGCAAACGCAAAGCGAGGATCCCATGTTTTTCTTTGACGTCTGTAAGATTGGACGCAATCTCCTATGTCCCAGCTCTCGCGGCTCATGGCACCTGGAGCTGGGGACGCATAGAGAATGCACACTGACGGTGCCTCTGCAGAGGTCTAGAGCATCGAGAGTACTGTACAAAATGAAGCAAGCCAGGCATTGTCTAGCGCATCGAGCGAATATGCTTTACATAAACAAGCCAGGCATGCGTGCCAGGCTGCCTGCAAACAACCAGTCTCTCATTTCACCTCCATCGGTGCTTTGCTCAAGAGAGTTGGACCTCGCTCAAGGTCCAGAGCCGCTGGCGCGCCTTCATAGATGCCGCCCGGCTCCAGGTTGCTTCCTTTCCAAGTCAGGCTGCCCGGGCGCAATGTCGCTCCATCTCCGGCATCGCACATGGCAACACTTGCACCTGTCATGATGGTCACCCCGTGGCCGATCTTGAAGGTCGTGAACTTGAGGCGGAAATCCTCAAAGGAGTGGCATCGAACCTGGCCGTCATAATCAACAGTCACGTCGTCCCCCACCTCCGTAAAGGGTGCGTCCACCAGGACCAGCTCATTCATGCAAAAGAAGCGCTTCCCCACACGCGCGCCAAGAAGGCGCAGGATGGGAGCTTGCCACCGGCTACCCGCCGTCTGAAACGGCAGTTTGAAGACCCGCTGCTGCGCAGTGAGCGCAGTAAACCACCGTGTGACGGTGGTGGAGTAGTACGCGTTGCTGTGCGGAGCACTCCTGTTGAAGAGCAGGTTGCCCAACACCACTGAGAAGAGATACCAGGAGCCTAAGGCATAGGCCATGTAGACCAACAGCAGGGCGAGAGGCTCCCAAACGTGCACAATCACCGGGCAGAAGCGACGACTGCTGAGCATGGCCAGGCCCGTGACCATGCCCTGCACGCCGCGGTAGAGGAACACGTCCATGACGCTGGTGCTGAAGTGGTGCCACATCCGCGCCAAGCAACTCGCGCGCTCTGGGCCCTGGCGGGCGCCTGCGGATTGGTTGGCGAGGCGGCGGAACTTCATCGCGGGATTCCCGAAGTAGCTCATGTTGGGCTCTGTGGGCCGATTCGGTAGCCAAGTGCCCACACCACAAAAGCTGCCCTCCGGAAGGCCCTGTGGCAGGTGGTTGTGATTGCCCAGGAAGGTGTGGTCGCTCATTACTGTCTTGCAAGGCACTTTGAATTGACCTTGGTCCACGTCCACACTGGTCAGGATATTGCCCGTAGCGAAGAAGCACCTGTGGCCCACTTCCAGCGTCTCCGGCAAAGTCACCTGCAAGCCCATGGCGCAGCCATGCCCGAAGGATGCCCCGCACATCCGGATGAACCACGGCACGATGGAGGCATCAGCCAACATCTCCGAAGCCTGCAGCACCATAGACATCTTTAGTGCAGCTATCTGCGCGCGAATGCTCACCAGGGAGCGCTGGAAGGGAGGCTGAACTTTCGGCAGCAGCCGGCAAAAGGCGACTGTTACTAGGAGCTGCATCACCGTCTGCAGCGTTGAAACGGCGAAGGCCAGGACCGGGATCCACTTCAGCTGGTCCAGGAACATCAACGGCAAGGCATCCACCTGCTCATCTGCCACCATCTCACTGCTCACCTGCGGCTCATTCTTGTAGAAGGAAGTAATCAGTCGAAAGCCCACCGCAGCCAGCACGGGCATCGCAGCCTTGGGGATGAGGAGGACCCAGTATCCCGTGGCCAGCGCGGCCGCCCAGCGGCGGAAGCTCCGCACCTCCTCCGGCTTCACCAGGCGGCTCTGGTCCAAGGGACCCACCACCTTTGCCGGCACGCCCGACACCCGGCTCTCCACCACCATGCGGCTGCTCACTGTGGACAGGGGCTCCACGTACCCCGCGGGAGCGACCTCGCAGCCTGGCTCCAAGGTGCAGTTGGGGCCCACGTAGGCGCCCGCGCCCACCTTCACCGGTCGCAGCACCATACGGCGCTCCCCGTAGTTTACGGCAGTCAGGTGCCTTGGCCCGTGCACCGTGGCGAGCGCGTCCACGGAGATCAGGTCGTAGGCCACGCATCTCGCAGTGATCACAGCCGTGGAGTGGATCTTCGCGCCCAGGGCCTTCAATGCGAGGTTGCGCAAGAAGAGAAAGGAAATGCTGCTCCCCTGATGCGCCGCCTGCCCCACCAGCGTGCCCTTGGCCAAGTGCTCCACTAGCCAGTGCCGGAGGTAGTACAAGCTGTAAATGTCATGATCTCCTTCGCGGTAGCGTCCAATGAGTATCCACTTTGTGGCCACCAGGATGAACACACGGAGAAATTGCTCGAAGGTCAGCAATGCAATCAAAGCGATGGCTATGAGCCACATGGGCGCCACAAAGATCATGGGCAGCAAGATCCGCTCAGCGAGGAGCAGCCGTGCTGCAACCATCACCGGCTGGGCCAAGATCGCAAGGCCCTGCACTGTCGCACACAACTTCGGCCAGCTGCGGGGTCCATAGCTTCTGTTCTTGGCGCGGCCGAGCATGTAGGGCCCCAGCTCGGTGGCCAAAGACAGGCTGCTTGCGGAGGCCGGCCCGCTGAGGCGACTGATCTGGGACCAGGTGGCGCTCTGCGGAAGGTGCACAGGGGCTTCCGGCACGGCGGTGAACCACGTCTGGCCCACCACCACCAAGGTCTGCGCTTTGGGAGTTCGCCCAGACACCTCGGAGATCACGAGCTGCGGGCTCTCCTCCACCAGTGTGGCCCCACAGCTCACCGCGGCCACGGCGGCCACCGTCCTGGCGCAGGTGCCCAAACCGGCACTGAGGCGCACGCGCTTCGAAGGCGTCACATGCGGGCGCCAGACCTCCACTAGAGCCGCCAGCTGCGAGTGGGACAGCACCAAAGGGTGGGTGCCAGGCGCCAAAGCCACGCAGGCGGCGTCCTCCGCCTTGGCGCCGAGGTTCGCCAGCGGCGGTTGCGTGAGGAGCGCAGAAGCGCTGTTCACATCCACCAACGCGGCGCTGGTTTGGGCCTTCCAGGATAGCTCCGCCAGCGTCTGTGCCTCTGCCATGATGACACAAGGGCCCAGCTGCTGCAGCTGCTCCGCCAGATGTTCTGTGGTGTCAAGCAAGCAGAAGGCGAAACCCTCCATGCATGCTGCAATCATCGCAGCCATCTGCTGGTATCCTTGCAAAAGGATAGCAACCGGTTCGGGCCTGCGTGGCTTGGCGCGACGCAACAGCCGCTGATAGGCACAGGCCAACCTCTGCATCTGCAGGTAGCTCAAAGCTTCGCAATGGGACTCGCGGCAGAGGCTGTGGGGATTCATCGCCACGGAAGCCAAGAAAGCATCCACAAAGGTCTCGCCCGCAAAGTCTGCTACCACATCGTCGTCCGAGTCTTCAGACTCTTCAGACAAATGCTGTGCAAGCGCCTGCACCGTGGGGTACTCGAAGAGCATCTGGAGGTCCACCTTGTGCAGTTTGGGTCGTGTGCGCATCTGGGTGATGAGCTGGCCGAAGCCGCCAGAGTCCACGCCCAGGTCCTCCATGAAGTGGTCCTTGCGACCCCAAGCATCCGTTACCTGCGGTGCCAGGCACTGCGCGATCTCCAGCTCCAGCTCGGAGCACTCGCTCTTGTCGAAGGCCTCCCACCCGTCCTGCTTCCCCTCTCGCACGATCTCCTCCAAAGGCACCGCGTTGCGCAAGAGCTTCCCAGAGGCATTGAACTTCCAATCGCCACTGTCGACCATTTTCACCTGGCGCTACGAGCATTTAAGTGCACTATAAGTCGCTGACGTGGCAACGCCACATGCATGCGGAACGGCAGGCAGCAGGCAGCGGCGCAACAACATAGGCTGCAGCGCACAAGAACCAAAGACTCTTCGAGAAAAAAACAAAACTTTCTGGCTGTATCGTTTTTCCTCAGCATCGGTTTACAATAGTTTGGGCCTGCAAAACAAGTTCAGGGACAGCCCCTTACATAGCACAAAGTCCGGATTTGTCTAATTCGACCCACCTGGCTGAGCACGTAGCCCCGGCCCAGCGACAGCGCCTTCTGCTTCAACTCGGCCTCGCTGGAGGTGCCGGAAACCAGCAGCACCAGGCGCTGATCCTCAGAGACCCGGGCCTCGCAGTGCTGGACCCCCGCCAGCTCCGCAATGGCCTGCTCCAAGGCCTCCAGCTCGATCCGCACACCTCGCACCTTCACCTGCCAGTCCACGCGGCCATGGTAATTGATGCGCCCGAGATTGTCCACGGAGGCCAAATCCCCGGTGTTGTATACCTTTGCTAAAGCAGCCGCCCAAACAAATGTTCAAGAGGGTTTGTACTGGGATAATTAAGGGGAGGAAGTAGAGAACCGAAACAAAAAGAAAAACATATCTGGGCCAGTGCCGCAAACAAATACTAACCCAATTCAAAAGACTACTGAACCAGTACACAGGAATACTAAACCAATACTCAACCACTTCAAAACTGTACTGGGCCAGCTCAAAGGAACACGGCCCAATCGCGGGTGCTCCAGGAACTTGGACCGCGTCTTCTCCTCCTCTTCCAAGTACCCGCGCGCCAAACCAATGCCCCCCACGAAGAGCACACCCTGCTCGCCCTGGGACTTCTCCTCAAAAGTCTTAGGATCCAGGATGTAGCAGCTGTATGTTGGCAACGGTCCTCCAATGGTGATAGGCTCCCCGGGGGTGACGTAGGCGCCTGTGCACACCACTGAAATCTCAGAGGGCCCGTAGCTGTTCACCAACCTACGTCCAGGCGCCCAGGCATCCACCACGTCCGCGCCCAAGGCCTCGCCCCCGACGTCCAAAATCTTCAAGTGCGGCAGCGCGTTCGTGGACACCTCTCCAGCGGCAGACATGGTGCGCAGGTGCGAGGGCACTACGCTCATGCCAGAGATCTGCCGTTCCTTCAACCACGAGACCATGTCTGGCCCAGATTTCTTGACCAGGTCGGGGCAGGTGACGCTGGCCGCCATGGCCGCCATCGTGCCGTAGACCTCGATGATGTGCACGTCCCAAGACATGGAGGCCACCTGGGCGAAGCGGTCCTGAGAGGAGAGGCCAACGTAGTTTCCCCAAATGCGCACCACGTTCAGGGCCGACTTGTGGCGGATCATCACAGCCTTGGGCTTACCTGTGGAGCCGCTCGTAAAGATGAGGTAGGCCAGTCTGTCGAGGTCGTCGGGATCGTGCTTTGCCTTTGTAGGCACCGTTGCTTCCTCTGCCTTCTTCAGGGCCAGGTCCACGTCAAGCACAACACGCGGAAATTCGCCCAAGGATGCCGCGATGTCTGTCAGGCCCAAACGCTTCAGAACGCCAGCACTTGAGATCATCACGGGCGGCCTCGCCACCTCCACCCAGGTCCTGAGCTTCTCGATGGGCTCTGCCACGTCGAAGGCGTTGTAGGCGCAGCGCTCCAGCATCACTGCGTGCACGGCGGCGATGCTCTTCACGCCGCGATCCAGGACAATTGTGACCACATGCTCATCAGCACGGCGTCGGTGAGCTTCGGGTGAACCCGGCTCCGTCGGCAGCTCAAGGGACTGCAGGGCCTTCCGAAGGACCTTGCGGATAGCAGTGGCCATCCTCGCCACTTGGGCAAACGTATAGCAGGCCGTGTCCACCTCCAGGCAGACGCCCTCCCCTTTTTTCGCGGCCGCCGTCAGCAGCAGCTCCCCCAAATTGGTCTCGTGCCCCGGCATGCACAACTGTCCATCCACCTCGACAAGTTGTTGATGCAAAAGCTCCAAAGCACTCGCGTCAGCAGCAAACATGGCCGGCAAAATTACTTTACAACTTTACACTCCCGGCGGATTGCGAATGCGCGCCAAATTGCTTGAGCCAGAATGTGCCGGGATCCCTTCAGTGAGGCTGCGGCCGCAAAGGCCAATGTCCTGCATTCCAATGCAAACGTGTTCTCTTCAAACTTCGTCCTCCTGGGCAGCAGCCCACTGCTTGTTGCCGCCGTCCACGCCCAGGGTGGAGACCTTCTGCGAGAATTCCCGGGCCTTCGTGTAGGCCGCCGAGCCCTCATCGCCGGAGAAGTAGATCCTGAGCAAAGCATATTGTGCGGAAGCGGTGGCACGGAATTGGCTCGAGCGATGAAATGCGCCACGAGTCTGACTTTCGCAAACTAAAAGCCATCTATTGAAGAATCCTGAGATTCAAGGCTGCAAAGAAGCAAACTTCAAGATTTGATTGCAAACGAGGGATCCTTAGTAATGACAATAACCGACAAAAGTTCGACACACGGGATGGGACATAATGCTACAATAACGTAGGTAAAGCCTTGGGTATCTTCACAAATAGTAATAGGGAACTGACAATGTCCTTCGGTGTGAAACCGACATGCCAAACCTGCTCATTGAGTCTAACATTTGCCAAGTCCAACATTTCTCAATCAGAAACATGTTCCACTTTGGGTGGCACCCACGAATTTGCGTGCAGTCTGGACCAGCTTTGGTAGTCAAGCATTCACCTCTCTTGAAACTCCGTCCATTGGGGCGGGGGGGGGGGGGGGGCCCCCCATTTTCTACAAAGGCATATTTCTAACTAATAATTTGCGCCGGGCATCATTGTCAGCAGGAAATTCCCTATTGGTCTTGCAACCTTCACATGCCCAATCATATACTCGCATGCACATTTGATGGATGTCTCGCCAGCTCCCATGGTTTCACCTCCTGACCCGTCCCACATTGCAGGCGAAGGGCGTTGCTCTGGCTCCCTGATTGGGTGTTTTAATGATTGCCACTGTAGGTTTGCTTCAAAAAACAAATGTCACTGGGTTCAGCGCAGTCTTTTGGTTGAAGCCTCGCTCAGGGAACATTGGCCATCCAGGATCATCAAGTCTGCATGCACTATCGTGTTTGCAAACATGGCTGCCTGGTCTCTGGGCCAAACAATGTGTGTAGAACACCCTGGACACTTCACGGAATGTTCGAACGTCTGAGGATGTTTTGGCACCCTGGGAGTCCCCTGACAAACCAGGTGTCACTCTTTCAGACCACACGGCCAAAGGGAGCGGACTGCGTTGCATTTTGCTGTCCTGTTCTGTTCTACACGGCATCTCGCAGAAGAAACACAACGTAAGTTCAAAATAGCTTTAGGATTGCCGCTTCTGGGCTTGGGATACGAAGCCTGAATCAGCAGGACACGCCACCCCTTTCAGAGATGTCTGTTGTCAAATGTTGCCAAGGCGCATGTCCTGCTTCATGGAGCCGCCGGCCTGGAGCAGGTTGCCCTTCAGGGCCTGCGCCTGCTTGGTCTTGATGTACTCTGGGGTGTTCTCGAAGCGGGTGAGGGCTGCGGTGAGCGCCTTCTTCCTCCTGTCGACCTCGTCCGGGTTGCGGGCCTTGTAGACAGTGTCCGAGCCATCGCTGAACTGGGAATAGGGGTTGATGGGGTTGTCGTTCTGGGAGTAGGCATCCGACTGCCCGCTGCCGAAGCCGAAGAAGGAGAACCTAAAGAGCATGAGCAACAAACTAGGTACAGACTCTGCGAACTTCTCTAGCTGTGCAACACCGCGAAGGCGCCCCACTTCAATTAACCTGGTGGCACCCCCCCCACAACTGGGGTAGACAATCACTTCAGAACACTGAAAAAAATCACTTGTGAACGCTGCCACTTTCGATCACTTCCGAACACTAAAACAAAATCACTTCAAAACACTGAGCACCCGGAACGCCGAAAGGGTTGCAAAACCCGGCCAGTCAAAAAGATCACTTCCGAACGCAGGCGTCCCAGCCCAGGATCACTTCCGTACGCAGGCAGGCGTCCCAGCCCAGGTGTGCAAAATCTAGTGGTTCTGGGCGGGGTGGGGGGGGGGGGTGATTAGCACACCCGCTGAAGCTCTACACCCAAATGTGCAAATTCATCTGGTTCTGGGGGTGGGGGGTGGGGTGGGGGGGGTGGCATGATAAGCACACCCGCTGAAGCTCTACACCCAAATGTGCAAATTCATCTGGTTCTGGGGGTGGGGGGTGGGGTGGGCGGGGGGGGGGCATGATAAGCACACCCGCTGAAGCTCTATACCCAAATGCGCAAATTCATCTGGTTCTGGGGGTGGGGGGGCATGATAAGCACAAAAGAATGGATCTGGTTTGGGGGGTGGGGTGGGGGGGCATGATAAGCACAAGGTGCTGGCAGCACACCGCTGAAGCTCTATACCCAAATGTGCAAATTGGTTCTGGGGGTGGGGGGTGGGGTGGGGGGGGGGCATGATAAGCACACCCGTTGAAGCTCTATCCCCAAATGTGGGGGGTGGGGGGTGGGGTGGGGGGGGGGGGCATGATAAGCACACCCGCTGAAGCTCTATACCCAAATGTGCAAATTCATCTGGTTCTGAAGGGTGGGGGGTGGGGTGGGGGGGGGGGGCATGATAAGCACACCCGCTGAAGCTCTATCCCCAAATGTGCAAATTCATCTGGTTCTGGGGGTGGGGGGTGGGGTGGGGGGGGAGGGGGGGCATGATAAGCACACCCGCTGAACTGCTTGTGGGGCGCTACAACCGAAACCCAAATCACTTGATCCAGACTCCGGTGGCAGGTGCTGTTAATGTTATAGTACGTTAATAAAGGGTTTAGGTCTTAGGGTTTTTCGAGGCTATCAGAAAAAATCCGTCAGCTAGCAACTCTCTTTTGGATCAACAGCACCTGGGAACCGCATTGTGTATTCTCTTTTCGAGTCTGAGTAAACATGAAACAACCCAAAAGATGGGGCGCAAAAACCATACATCCCCACACCCAAATCACTTGACCCAGACTCCGGTTGCAGGTGCTGTCAATGTCACAACATGTTAACACAGGGTTTCGTGTTTGTCTTTGCTATCTGAAAACAAGCATCCGGCAGCTTTACTCTTGAACTAGCCAAAAGGATGCATTTGGGCCAATCGACGAAATCATGTCCTTCGCCGCGGCATGGCCCGAAAGCCAAATTCTGAGATCTCTGTCCATGTGCTTTTGTTTGGAAGCAAAAGGCACGTGGCTCCACTTCCAGCGTTCCGAAGCGATTAGTACGTTTTCCGGCGTTCCGAAGCGATTTTGTTTCAGCGTTCTGAAGCGATGGTTTTGCCAGCGTTCAGGAGCGACGCACTTACCCACAACTGAGCAACCCTCAAATTAATTGGGACGGAGTTGAAGTAGGGGGCTGCTTTTCTTGTTTTTTTCCCGTGGTTCCTGTTCCTGACTTGCAAAAGGGCTCAAGCACATTAGGCTCTCATGAGTTGTTTGACAAACATGGCCAACAAAAACCACGTGCAAACCAAATTGGGGCCTCGGTAGGGTATCCCCAAAGAGCTACGTAGCGCAGGGAAGTCCCACTGCCATGACCCAGCAAGCTGGCACCATGTTTGGTGAATCATGTTTGGATGTCTTTTCAAAGAGAAATGACAAAAACAGAATGTACCTGTCAACGGTCTGTTGGTATTGTTCTTGTCTCATGTCCGCTTGACAATCGTTTGCAGTGCAGGCTGCATACTGTACGCAAACAAAAACACCGCAAGCACTATTTAAGCTGGCGTCAAGCAGGGTCGTTTGGGGTAGGCATGTGCAACAATGTGTGTTGTTGTCATGCTATTGTGTTCGTCCCGTCCCGTTTAAAGTAACAGGACTTCACCCGCTGCAGCACGTGAACTCTTCAGAACATAAAGCACAGCCTATCGACGAAGCAGTATATCGACGAAGCAGTAGTGTTTCTAAACTCCTTATCGCCGGCTTTAGGCAAAGGGGGCCCTGATCCTTATCGCTTGATGTGCCAGTTTTGGACACCAGAAATCCGGCTTGCCTACAAGCCATCTGCAATCACCCGCCCGAGCAAACTCTGGGTGCCCTCACGTCGGCACCTCGGCCACGGCTGCGCCGGGAGCAGCCACCTTGGCCGTCTCAGCAAAACATTCCCCCTCGTTCCTCCCGCAAGGAGCGAATCTTGCAAACCCTGCAACAAATTGGGGGCTTTTTCTTGGAGGAAACGGACACAACGATTGGACCAACAGCTGTGACTCCACAAACAACCGAATTTTCATTTTTAAGAAAATGGGTCCAGCACCCCCCAACTCCCTTTTCATTTCCACAATCCCAAGCACTGTCCAAAAAGCAGTTGTGGGGGGGGAACGCCTTCCTTGGGCTTCCTGGCGGCTGCTGCTAGCATGGCCGCCGCCGCATCGGCACGCAACTTAGGTGCCAGGAAGCAGGGCCTTGGACGCGAAGTCGAAACCGCCAAACACAGGGCTCGTTGTTTTGCGTGGGTACCCTTTTTGTTTTTTGCGTGTCAAGGGAAACCAAAGGAAACGAGCCGTTTTACAGGGCCCCTATTTTGAGATGTCTTTTCGTAGGAATAGGAAACCACAGAGGGGAATCAAAAATAGGAACCACACTCACATCACCGTTGGGCGGAACTGCAAATCAGGGACAGGTTAAAAACTGAACTGGGGAAGCGGGGCTTGTGTTGAACCAAGTACAAGTATCAACAGATATGATCAACAAACATACACTAGTTTCGCCCAAACAACGCTGTGGCAATGAACAAAAAATCCTAAATCCAAGACACACCCAACACCCAGTCTTCTATTTGGATTAGCGCAGCAAGCTTACACAGCGCCTGTTGTAGACAAACTAAGTATGTGCATCTGCAGGCAACAACACGTGCATGATACTCCCTCTCTCTCTCTCTCACAAACATATATGCATGTGCGTGTACAATAATATGACTCAATTCGGTAGCAAGTACCTTTTCTCATTCATATTTGCATTCGCTGCTGATCACGGCCATCATGGCCCTAAACACAAATTATGACAAAGGCCTATATACCGTGCCTATACCCATTCCCTCGACATTGCCTGGAACAAGACTACCTGCGAGTTCAAGCTGCTTGAGCATAAGCCCCGCGAAGCACACCAGCAGGACCTGGCAACGTTAAAACATGGAGGGAACTGGAGAGAAGGGCTATGGCAGTAGCTATGGCAGTACACCTCTTCGCCAAACAGCGCAGGCTGATTGATTGGAATGCAACGGGGCTGTTTTTGTTGCCTTATAACTCCCAAACCACCATGCCTAGGCGGCAATGGGCTTATCTATAATCAGAATGCAGACGCAAAGTGGTTGCAGTTCCATACCCCGCTTCCCCCGCGGTCACTTCCTTGGGAGCAATGAAAACTCTCTTGGAACTGTCCAGGCAACAAAATGGATCTTTGGGATTCGGCCACACAGCGTCTCGGACAGGATCAACGTGTTGGGGAAAGGCCTAGTACTGGAAGACGCAGAACTGTCTTACTCGCAACAATTAGGCCGAGAAAACAAAACAGTCGGAAGGACTTGGAACACTGACAGCTGCAGATTTGTAGCACGATACTGCATTGCGTTCATGCATCAAACAACACCGGTTCGGCTACTTAGGTGGCTCATGTGGAATTCATTGAAATGATACCCAAATTTGGCAATGTCATCCTCAGTATGCCCGGCGCCTTGGACAGCAGACCAGTACGTGCCATTGCGAATAGGCAAAGAACGGAGCGGCAACTGAGGACCCTGAGCAAAAAACTCCCGGGCTGAGCATGTTGCAAACGAACACGCAAGCTCAAATTTGTGAGAAGTGAATAAAGCTGAAACCAAAGCCATGTAGACCACCACTTTGCCAACAGAAACAGTGCAATAATGGCAGTAGCCTCACCTTGATTCCCCACTCGGAAGACCTCCAAACAAGACAACCAGGACAAGAGGCCAGTCTTTTACCCTCAGATTCTGGCAAGCTTTTGCTGGTTTGGAGCTGCCTTCTCCTTCAGCCCAGGTAAATGTGCCCATACAAATGCTAAGTCGCGCGGCGCATTCGGTGCATTGATATCTAGGAAAACTGACATGTCACATCTTTCAGGCCATCGCTATATTATAACCCTGACTTAAGCAATTAAGGACTTATGTTCTTTGCTCAACTGCCCCAGCTCGTTAGTCTCTCACTCGGACCTTACAGTCGGCCAGAATCTCTGGAACGAGAGCAGCTCTCATGATAATACAAGACAGTGCCCGCAATGGGAACAGGTTTCTTCAGGCTAAGGGACCCGAGTAATTTTGTGTGAGTCAAGGCAGGCGAAATTGACAAGGCTTCATTGACAAGCAACTAGCACAATCTCTTTTCCGCGACGCATCATGCTTCCCTGCTGGTAGCAGCCTGTCTTTGTACAGCTAGCCGGCCGTGAAAAAATAAGAACGCGTTCGCGTTGGGTGCCATTTCTTACCTCTGCAACTGATTCTGGCAGCTCAGAACTGCGCCAGCTGCTTCCATCTGGCACGGAAAAAGCATGAATGTGAAATGACATCTGGCCTTGTTGCCTTGTGAAAACAAGAGTGTGCCCATCTCTACATTGGGGGAAACAAATGTCCTAATTACTGAGGATAGGCTCAAGTATCCGCACGAAGTCCAACAAGGCGTCAAACATCAGGCAACTGGAGACCTGGCTGTGCAAATAGAACAATTTAGTCAACAGTCAACTATTCCGTTCCCCCGAAAAAAAGGGTCTCCTGATAGTTAAATGCTCCAAAGGGGCCAACACGAAATGTGTAAACCAATACTAAACGAGGGATTTCTCCTACCCTAAGTAGTGGCTTGTTTGGGAGCCCCTGGAAAGCAGGGAGATCTGGGGACAGAAGAGGAAGGAGTGGGGGACCTCTAAGAATCTACAATGTGTTTTTCCCCAGAGGACTTGTTTTTGTTGGCGAGGGGGGGGGGGTCTCACTGATGGGGAGAACGGATTCCCTCCCCAACAGCGATATCACAATTACCATGGTAGAGTCAATCCATGCTTTTCTTATATACAAGAACCTTGCTTCCGCGTGATAACGTTGACGGAAAAAAAAAAAAAGAAAAAAAAAAAAACGCTGATCGCCACCTCCAGCAGCGGTCCCTAACTGCAGCCAAAGCCACTCGCTCAAGATCGCAGCGGCCTTCTCGTAGTCCTGAAGAACGCCGTTTTTCATCTGTTCGCCTTTTGGCCACCCACGAACCAAACACAAGTATTTCACACCCCAAGTGAGTAACGGTCAGCCAGCTCCGACATCCAGCACGTCTCCCAAAGCAGCCATTACACAGCATGTCACATTGCAAACTTGCAAATCGCTGGCTCCAGGATTCAGCGGCCGTCGAACACATTGAAACCGGTCGTTGTTTGTCTCCCTTTCGGTTGCCGCTGTGTCTAGATTTACCGCGTCCTGTGCGGCCGCAGCCCACTGCTTGTTGCCGCCGTCCACGCCCAGAGTGGAGACCTTCTGGGAGAATTCCCGGGCCTTCGCGTAGGCTGCCGAGCCCTCCTCGCCGGAGAAGTAGATCCTGGGAGGTCGGAAATAATACGCGTGCGTTTCGGGTTCACTTGCACGTGCGCCCGCATTTTGGCAATTTGGGCCGGTTTCGGGTTCACTTGCGCGTGCGCCTGGTCAATTCGCGCGACAAGCGTGGCACTCTGGGGAAGCATGGGTGAAGCACTTGCGCGTGCGGCATGCGAGTATTACTTGGGTGATTTCTTAGCTGCGCTATGTTCCGTTTGTGCTTGGGCATGCTACGTTTCGGGGGGAGAAGAGCACACGTGCAAAAAGGACAGTTGGGCTGGGGGGGTTGGGGTCGGGCGGGGGGGGGGGGGCTGGGTTGTTTGTAGGGGCTGGAGAAGTTAATATGAGATCGGGGCGTATGTAGCCAATTCTTAAAGTAACCCAGCTGACATGTGGAAAAACACCCACGCAACACAGCTGCAGAAAAGTGGACAATGTCATGTGATCTGGCCGCAGTGCACATGCAGATGGCTTGCTGTGCTTCAAACAAAATGCTTGATTTCAGCTTGCCAAATAGATTTCTCAGCACATCAAGTACAAACCTCAACCAGCACACACAAGCGAACCTGGGGAGCACACGCAAGCGAACCCGAAAGGAACTCACAAGCGACCTTCCGACCTTGCAAACTCCTGTTGGCGTTTGCAAGCCTTTTGGGATTGGGTTGCCTGGGTGGCCTGCTCCAGGCTCTCGACATGAGGCTATACAATAACGCCAAGTAGGTGCCTACATTATCCATCCACCAGCTGCAAGCTGGTGGCATCCTGTGCCAAAGTGCCACCAACAAATGCCCCCCTATTAGTTACAATTCTTCGAACGGTATCCTATACTCTCAACAAGCAAGCCAGTATTCACCCGTGGTACACAACCACCACTTCCGCGGAAGCCGGTTGGTCAGATCTCGCCAAGGCGCATGTCCTGCTTCATGGAGCCGCCGGCCTGGAGCAGGTTGCCCTTCAGGGCCTGCGCCTGCTTGGTCTTGATGTACTCCGGTGTGTTCTCGAAGCGGGTCAGGGCTGCGGTGAGCGCCTTCTTCCTCCTGTCCACCTCGTCCGGGTTGCGGGCCTTGTAGACAGTCTCCGAGCCATCGCTGAACTGGGAATAGGGGTTGATGGGGTTGTCGTTCTGGGAGTAGGCATCCGACTGCCCGCTGCCCAAGCCGAAGAAGGAGAACCTGAGAAGCAAACCAAGCGTGCTGGCAGCCAAGCATCCATCACTATTCTGCAAACGACACAAACGATTCTGATGTTGTTTGGGAAACATTCCACAACATCAACGTGCCGATGCAATTCTGAGTGCGAGGTTGCCTTACCCGAGCTGGCCAGCCTTTTGCAATACGGTCATGCACCAGTGTGCTAAAACGGCATTGGCAGCCCCGGAACTTGCAGGCATCAGCAATCGTTCAATTTGGATGTTGCAGAACTATCTTGCGAGCTTTTAACAAATGCAATATCTCCCTGCCTCGCTGTCAAGTTGAATGTGCGGGATCGAGTGCATTTGATCAGCCCAAATCTGAAACACGACACTGTTCACAGTGTCACAGGAAAGACGCTGTCTCATTGTGTTTAGTACTGTGGATGGGAAAAAACAACTGCACCACCAAGAAAAATCGAAATGATGTTTTCCCCGTAAATACCAAAAACAATTGTTTCCCATGCTTTCAAAGTGGTGCAGGATTTCGTCCATCCACAGGACCTTGGTTTGTGCAAAAAAAACAGTCGCAATACTTCAACATCAAGGTTGCAGGTCCGTTTCAAGCATAAACAACCCATCCAACATGAACACAGAAACAAGTATGTTGGCTATGAATGTTAACAGGGAACCTGCAAAGTGGTTGGTGGACATGAATTATGTGCTGAATCCACGAGGCGAACCACCTTGTACGTGTCGCATGACATCGTGTGAGCGAGCTTGGCAGCCCCCTGTTTGTCGATCGAGTAGGTGGATTTCGTGAGTAGGATGCAATGTTTTCCTCCCTTGGTTCCCTTTCTGTGTTGTTGTTTTGGGGCCCTTTTTCTCACGCTCTTACGAAAACGATGTCCTCCAAAGCGTCCCCAATGAAACAAACCAGACCCACGGTGGATCAAATCCCAGACCAGTGTGGATGAAGCCCAAAGTGAAAACTGAGATGAACCACCTGGTGCACGGTGCACAGCGCTATAGGCGCCCTGAGGCCCGGGCGTTGGCACCTCAGCCATGGCTGGCGCTGTGTTCGCCGCAACCTGAGAATGCGATGGGGAGAGGGGAAAGCTCGAAGAAGGATCTTCTTTGTCGTAGGAAGCCGAAGGGAAGACTCCCTTTCGGCCCCTCGGATGCATTTCAGATTCGGAGCATGGATGCGTTGCGGAGGGATCGGAAATCCCTTTAGCCAAATACGGCAATAATGTGCTTGGAAGGGTACAACGAGCTACGTAGCTGTCTCTCGATGTGTGCTCCTTTCCAACCGCCATAGCAGAGCACAGGGCCTCAAATTACATGATTGAATACAGCGGGATGATTCTGTAATACAGTGTGCAGAGCCTGCGGGACCTGCACCAAAAAGTGTTTGGTGCCCAAATTAGTATACTTGGTATACTGTGAACCCTGCCCCCCTGCAGGGGCAACCGTGGTGACACACAAAAAGCTCAGCTACACCTGACAAGCAGCTCAAGATGTTGGCAATTCAATAAACAGTGGTGGCCCCTTGCATCGGTATTCTGCACCTTGCCCGCCAAACATGCCCAAGCATCTCACAAGGTTATTTCACACCAAGCGCCCCGCAAATTGACACCATCTGCGGAATGGCTGCTTATCAATCGACGCTCATGACTACCCTCCCTTTCGAGGTGTCCGGTACTTTTTCGGTGAGTGAGGGCAGTGATCAAGGCCATATCACCAGAAGGTGCAGCCAAGGCGATGAAACGAAGGTGTCGGCGGGTCGCAAAAGAAACTTTGCCCTGCACCTTGAACAAAACTATTTTCCCCAGAATCTAACAAAAGCCATGCCTTTTGTTGTTTTTCGAGGACGGGAAGCTTCCCAATCACCACAGGAACCAAAGGCTCCACTCCCACCACCAAACCAAACAATTACCTTTTTTCCAGGCTCTAAGATGGAAGCTCCCGAACGGACCCCTGACGTGGCTCCAATTTACAGAGGCGAACTCGTGCGGCGAACTCGTCTGAAGCAAGCGAACCTGGGCCTCCGTGCCATGGCCGCGGCCAGCGCCGCAGCGGCCTCCCGCCGGGGTGCCGCGAAGCAGGTGGACCTGTGTGGACACGTGCAGCAACTCAACAACACACGGGGGAAGAAAAAAAAAAAAAACGCAAAAAAAAGCGGAAAACGAGAAAACACGGCAAGAAACGACAACAAAGGCAACACACACACACACTCACACACTCACACATCTTTAGGACGCCCTGTTTTGCGGTGGGCGCTGGAACCAACTTGGCTTCCAACCTTCCAGGCCAAGTTTAAGTTATGCAAGGGTATCTCCAAAAAGCAACTGTTCTTGTCCAACCCAAAGCCCTTCACGTGGATAAGCCCAAGAAGTATCCCTAAGAGCCCCAGAACCTCCACGGAAGAACCTACCCGATTTCTGCCGGAACCTGCTCTCAGGTGATGTCCATTGTAGCCCCCCAAACTGCGACCCAGGCATCTCTCAATTCTGAATCGATATCTTTGTCCCTCGCCAATTCACAGTCTCACAATCTCTTCTTGCCGTTTTGGGAGCTTGAGGAGATCATCGTACCGGGCCCATCTGCCGATGTCGGAGGGGTCCAACCTCTCGAGGGTTGTTTCTGACGACCGTTTGCCCCAGTTGGACACCATTTTGTATTTGGTCCAACAGTTGCCCAGCGCTGCGAAGTGCGAGTTTGCGCATTAAGAGGAACAAAAGAACAAACAGTACAACACCAACGGTGGCTATTCACACGGACCAAACATCTCACACATTCAAACTGTCCAACTGTCCAGGATTCTGTTGAACGAAGAGGTTACTCAAAACAAACAGGCAGAACCAAGCCACCCACCAAACTCACACAAATGGCGGGCCACTTGGACTCGCCGAGTGGCACTCCTTTTTTGGCCAATGCAGCGCCACAGTCCGTACTTTCCAAACCAAACCGACCGCCTGTCGTTGACATGGCGAATCATGTCCCCGGCCTTGAAATCAAGCCGGAATTAAGCTAGCTGCAGCGAATTCAAGAGGTGCGCAGTGTGGCGTGATAAAACATGCCACACGGCCGTAGCCCTTCATCTCTGGATAGGGCAGGAACTCGCACGCTGGCGCCAGTTGACAAGTTTGGCCAACCAGCACAAGCCTTTTACAAACGGACAAAACCGGCTCAAGAGATATGCAGCACAACTTAATGTGAGCGACTTGGTATCGCCCAGGATGTTTGCAAGCCACAGGATCGGCTGCACGGTCGGCAAAAGTAGCAAAGGCATGTCCAGATTTACAGTCATGGCCAAAGTGAAAGTTTAGGCGCGTCAAGCTGGCAAACTCTCCGCACATTCACGGGTGTCTCCCCCGCCGATAGATTTTGGAACACACAAAGCCCTTTCTCCATGAAGTTATTCTTCTCTCACGTAGTAACAGCGCCAAAACGGGTGGAGTGGCAGCACTAGTAACTGGAGTGGTGGGCGGAGGGCTGGCCGTAATGTGGCAGTAGCCGCAACAAGTGACGCTTGTGTCTTGATGAGGGGACAGCTCTTGCAATTTGGGACCACAACATATATGCAAGTGTACAGTCTACGGCAAAGCGCAACGCCTGAGTCCAACTAATTCTTTATTTGGGACCTGGACCACTTCAAGGGCCGCTCACCATAAGGCATCCTTCCAAGCAAAATGGTCAAGCCGATCCTCACTTGGCCCTCCAATGCCCACGAAGGGAGCGGCACAACAGCGCTCCCCAGTGGCCAAGGTGTGACAGCATGATTTCTGGTCAAGCCAATAAACAACACCAGCCCATGGCGTGACTTGCTTCTCTTTGCATGGGCTGTATGATCATGTTGATAGGCTGGCTTCACCAGTTGCTGCGGAGGACAAAGCCAACCTCAAAACTTCAAACCTCATTCTCCACGGAAGCTGCTCACAAGTCCACAGACGCAAAGCCAACGCGGACCTGCAACCTGAGCGTGCGTCTGTAAATACACATGCTCCAGCAGGCAAAACTGCAGGCTTGGCTGTCACACTCATCTCACCACCCCATGGGCGAAGTTGCACTTGTGCTAAAGGCAAAACTCACGGAGTGTACTGGCAAGTTCAAGGCTCAAATCTTGGCATGTAATGAGCAAACCAGCACAAGGCTCAAAATCGTGGACCCATTTTGGTTGGCTTTTAAAGGGACTCCACAAGGAAACCAACCACCTTAGAGACCACTACTGTATCATTTGAAAAACCTCCGAACATACACTTCCGGCCCATACTCGCGGCCAACACCTTCAAACTTGCCTTTGCCGTGAGAGTTCACTCGAAGGCAGCGACTTCATCAAGTCTGTGTATAGGATTCTGACAGGTCACACGGGACACGGGGGATTTGAAAAAAGCCTGCTGCGCTCCTGTAAGGACAAGTCTGGCCATGTCTCAAAATCAAGGGTTCCTCCAAATGGTGCGTCTATTCATTCTGATTTCTGCTGGAATCCACCCAAAGTGCGGAACGTGGGACAAACAGATCCGGGGCGTATTTCCTGGGGCTCCCTTGCACCGCGATCGATTCATGGGCCGACTCGAAGCCGAGCTGTCTGCAGCTCAGTGACCAGGCACCCTTGCCCAAAGGCATCCAGCCCTCGTAGCCGTAGGGGTCGAACATCTCGCTGCGCAGTGTTACGGAGCCGATGCGCTCGTCAGCAGCCCAGGGGTGCCTGGGCCATTTGCGCCTATCCAAAGCGATGGGGCTACCTGAATGGATGAAATGAATAGAGCACACAACAAAACGTGTTCTGGAAACTCTGGGTGCCGCCAGGGGAGGGGGGGGTCCAGGGCATCCTGCTACAAATCATGAGATGTTGGACACGTGTTGCAAAGTGTACTTCACCAAATACAAGCGTCCTCTTGAGATACATACAGGGCATGGCAAATAGGACTTGGACTTGCAGGATGCCATCATTTGAGAATAGCCATTGCAACTAGCCCTCCCAACATATGTCAACATACATCGAACTACACCAAGAGCACATCAAGCCAACATCAACTGAACATTTGTCTCTGGCCACATGGACAGCAAGTGACATGCGTGCAAAGGAGTGCTGCCCGTGCTTGTCAATCTGTGCGTTCGCGATAGCGTGTTTACCACTCAGTTCGCTCTTGTGAAACAACCCACGCTGAACAAGAACAGTTCGTTCAAATTCCAAAGCCCAACTCCCCGTGTCGGAGAGGCATCCGCATATGAATCATGTGCTGAACATGCGGAATGGTTTGCAACCAACCAGCGGTACCCTTGTCCAATGGCAAAAGGCGAGTTGTCAGGTGCCTCTCATCCCACACCGTGACCTGGATCTCGTCCTCTGGCTCATACTTGTCCAGCACGAAGGACTCGTCGAACTTGGGCTCGGTGCTCGCCTTGCCTGCGAATGGATTTGTAAGGTTCCGGGTGGGCCACAGGTTTGCCGAGTCGCACTTCCCGCGACAAGACGATCAAGTGAAAAGAAAACCCCCAGCACCGACAATTTGACACCCTGAAACACATCATTCCCAAACAGCGACTCCCAAACAATACGCGTGTCCCAATGAGAATACCACATAGCAGCATCATGTCTCTTCTTGCCCAGCTCAACGGAACAGGCCATTAGAGGGAACACAACAAGACCGAAAACCGAACGAATACAGATCCTGTGCAGACCTTTGTTTGTGTTGGGGTCTTCAATGGGTTGTTTCTTTGAGAAAAGGAGCTTGACACGTTTGCAGCTTGCCGTTGGCCCATTGCCCATCGATATCCGTGCGGCAAGCGCCAAGCGCCGAGGCGCTGGTGTGGGTGCGGTACATGGCGCCCCAGACCCGGTTCTTGGCGTCGATGACCACAAAGGCGTCCGGCTTGGGGTTGGCGAAGGGTGAGTAGTGGCGCTCCTTCAAGCCCCAGGCAGACAAAATGGTCCTTGGCCACAATGGAAGGACTGAACCAATCTGAGATGCTCAATGAACACTGACTATTGTCTTCAAGTCCCAATTCGTTCGAACACTTGCCCAACCCTGTTCGTGGGAGGTGCGTGTGCACCTGGCGGTGTCAAATGATCCGTTGAATTTCTTGAGCGGTCCATCACTTCCTGCCTCGGAGAACTCCTGTTTGACATAATAGAACATCTAGAGAGTTCTGCTGCTGCCGCCGCCGCTTCCGCTGCTGTGGATTGGTTTTTGCGAGTTGCAGTGTCTCACTTGCACACCTACTCAGCACAGCTGGTTCGGGCTGTTTTGTTCCTGCCTGAAACTGCCTCACATCCAATCCCATGCCGGCGTCCCCCGTTCAGGAGGTTTAGGCAAAACGACTCCCAGAATCGATTTCAGGTCATTGAGTCTGTTCACAGCAAGCTCACGACAACCTGAGGCTCCCAAGTCTGCGCATGGATCTCACTAAAAACAACCGGGGTTGGGCTCCCCCTGGCCTGAATCAATCCTATGGATAAACGAATTTCGGAAGCTGAATCAGATGTGCCGAGTGTTTTGCAAGACCCAGGATTGAACAGGCAACTTATTTCAACAACAGGCACATCAACAGAACAACACTGAAACAAGTGTCAGAGATTTGAGCTGCAACAAACGACACTTGACTGGCGGTCTGGTGACTTGCGTCCCAAGCCTGCGCCCATGGGCTGCTTTGCGCCAGCCTTCTTTCAACATGAATTTGGGACATTTGAGCTTGTTGTGCACGCTCGCCTGTATTCTTCCATCCAACTCCAATGCAGAACTGGATTTCACAATTTGCACATCAGTAATCAGTTATGCTTTAAAGTTCATGGTGGCCGGCTGTGAGAGAGTGTAGCCCAAATTGGGTCTGCATCATCCTGGAATTTTGCCCCCTTCCCCCAGTGCCGTCGTTCCCGACCGAGCCACCAACCCAGCCAACACACTAACCCACCAGCCCTACAGCCACCCGACCGACCAACACAAAACCAACCAACAAACCAACCAACCAACCAACCAACCAAAAGAAAGAAAGAAAGAAAGAAAGAAAGAAAGAAATAAAGGAAGAAAGAAAGAAAGAAAGAAAGAAAATAAAGAAAGCAAGAAAGGCAAGAAATAGAGCAGGAAAGAAAGCAAGATTGAAAGAATAA